TGTTACTACCTACCTAATGGACTTTTACTACCTAACTGTACTGTTACTACCTAACTAATGTACGGTTACTACCTAACTAATGGACTTTTACTACCTAACTGTACTGTTACTACCTAACTAATGTACAGTTACTACCTAACTAAACTTTTACTACATAACTAATGTACAGTTAGTACCTAACTAATGTACAGTTACTACCTAACTAATGTACAGTTACTACCTAACTAATGTACTTTTACTACCTAACTAATGTACTGTTACTACCTAACTAATGTACTGTTACTACCTAACTAATGTACAGTTACTACCTAACTAATGTACTGTTACTACCTAACTAATGTACTGTTACTACCTAAGTAATGTACTTACTACCTAACTAATGTACTTACTACCTAACTAATGTACTTACTATCTAACTGAACTGTTACTACCTAACTAATGTACTGTTACTACCTAACTTATGTACTGTTACTACCTAACTAAACTGTTACTACCTAATTTCTCCACCTAAAGAATCCAGATAATGTAAGTAAATTTGTTTGAATATTAAAATGTAAATTGCAAAGCCTGTTAATACATCTGTATGTAAAACACATCAAAATTATTGGACTTGTTGATCCTTCCTCTTCAGACGTCACCATTGTTGACTTATTTTCAGTCACTTTGTCTGTTCTGTGGGTAAACAAACACATGTTGACATCTGGCCACACATTTTTCATTTACTGACCCATTAACCAAAGTGCAGATTTACATATTTTCTGTGTTGCTGTTGCCACAAATTCCATTTAAACCTTTTACATGACAGGAAGAAAAAAATAAAAATAAAAAGCAGGTTTTAAAAGCAGGTCAAATTTATAAGTTAAAAGCTCAAAAACAAGGTTCAAAAGAGCTGAGACTCAATCCTGGATTTCTTTCATTAAAACGAGATGGAGTGCCTTAAATGAGGCAGCTGAATTAAATCAGATCTCTGATCAGGTGCAGTATGAAGATGCTTCATCATCATCATCATCATCATCACTGCAGGATCCAAACGTTAGAAAGAAAAACAGCTAATCAAGTCTCTGAAAAATCCAAGAGCTGAAGAGAGAAACATAAATTCACCCAATGTGATGTAAATTAGCAGAATGAACCGTGTCATGGGTCGGGTATGATTTAATTAAAAAATGTATTTAGATCATTTAATTTTAATTAACCTGAACTAATTATACACAGAAGAACACTGACATCTAAAATCATTTGTTCTGATTCAGTTTACTCAGGCAATATCAGTGTTTTAGGGCAGTTTTTAGAGGACTTTATCGTTAATATTTTATCTGGTTTCCTTTTATAACACCTCTCCCATCTGTGTGTAAATTAAGTTCTAAATGAAAATGAAAAAAATAAAATCTCATTCACATTGTCTTTTACACAGTTTATGAATAATTAATACCTTACCTGGTGTAAATCATGCTTTGAAAGATCTAAGT